TAGCAAGATATGGAACAATCAGGATGTTGTGGATAGTTAGAATAATTTAATAGAAAGTATAGGTATATCCCGTCTACTAAAATGATCCTACTCTTTCTCATTCACCAAAATTTTAAAGTTCATGCCTTTGAAATTTTGAAAATTTCATGTTTCAATTTTCAGTCTTCCGAATCCTACAGGCGAATCAAAATGCAAAACAAAACCACCCCTCTCTTCATTCTACCTCAAAGGTTTAAACGGTCCACTCAAAAGTTCTGACATTGGTTCCGCGGCTGTTTGTGACATTAAAGCTCTTTCTCAGCCTCAGCTAAGTATCGCGCGGCGAGAGAGATACATTGGGATCTCGAAGAGTCCTGCTTTACCATCAGAGAGTGAGTGAGTCGATTCAAGCTCCGATTTGAGATTCTATATTCAGAGTCATTATTTAATTGCATATTTAATATTAAAAAAAATAATATGACACGTTATTGTTTCACTTTTGTTAATGTAATCTATAAAATTAAATGCAAAAACTGTGAAAAAACAGACGTAAGAGATATGTCCAAAAAGCTAAAAATTAGAATTATACATTAAAAAAGTAATTGTAAAACTATTAAAAACAGCTTTGTCACAACAAAACAAACATTAAATAACAACATTTTTGATTTAAAAAATACAAAAAATTTAGACATAGTTAAACATTCAAAAAATTAAAAAAGCTATATATTAATAAAAATATAGAAGGAACTTTAAACATACTTCAAACCATACACTAAAAATTTAAACAGCCACATATCATCTATAATTAATATGTAAAAAACTGGGACAACATAAATTGGGGTGTTAACATAAATTGAGACATAAAAACAATAGTTTTTTATTAAGTACTAATAAATAAATATAAGGAAGAGACAGATGAAATAACTAAATAGGGTTATTCAAGATTCAATCTAAGATAATAAGCAATGCGAAATTGCTGAAATGAAAATTTGATACAACTTTTACCTTCCGAAAAATTGTATTTATGTTAAACAAATTTTTAAATCATAACAAAATGTTACGTATGCAATTAAATGATAGAGATGGATGTATATATTTTTCATTAAATATTAAGAATAACATTAACTAGGTAAACTAAATTATATTAATTTTTCATATAAATATAAATATTCTTAATAATGTGTTAAACTAATTTCATTCTTACCTAAAACCGAATAGATTGTCCTAGTAGATCGGCTAGTAGCTCGAAACGCCAATAAAAAGAAAATAAATAATTATTATAAAGGAATTCGTCTTGTAAAAAGTAAGTAAATATTTAATTTTGTTATCTCACTTCTTATATTTTTTCGCTATGTTTTTTTATGAACCAAGTGAGAATTTCATTTCTTCCTTTCTTGTTGTTTTCGTTTACATTTCTAGCACTATTCATTACTTCATTCTCTATTCTTCGTATTTCATTCCTCAAACCACTTATAAATTAATTGGTTCTTGATAACACTTTCTTTGATTTTATAAATTATAATTATGTATTTTTACATATTTTATTATTTTTCAAAATTAATTAATCGACGATAAGCTTACTAAGCATTTCTAAATACTTGCATTATGAGAAGGTAATTATTTTTTATCAACACCAAAAAGAGATGAGCGCAACAGCGTTAGTCAGCAGATTTTATTTATAATGCTCTTGAAGAAAAACGATCTCGTAATATGTGACAGCGCTAATATGGCAGCCCCTATTGAAACCTCTCCAAAGAGATATGCTGCCTCACTTTTTAGCTCCTTGGCCAACATCCTATTTCGTCTATCGTTGAAGTATATTATTTCAATTAAAACATAATACAATGGTCTCTTTCTTTAGAACGCACGCAAACGGTTATATAAATAATATATACAATATGTACATTGACCTAGACTGGCTCAATATATTATATATGTGGGTGTGTTTGCGCGAATATAGGGTATCTGAGTTCCTAATAGTCCAACTCTGTTCTGAACAAAATTTCCAACAAAAAAGTTCATTTGATGCCTGGGATAATAAAGATAGAGATAATAAAGAAAAAGAAATATAGAAAAATTAAATAAGGTTAAGAACAAATGGGATATGAAGGTCACATGGAGGGTTTTATTGGATACATAGAAAGGAGCATCGACTATTGTTCGAAGAACTTAAGACTGGAAGTATTGAATACATTTGATGTTAATAAGTTTTGCTGTCCTCCCCAGCTCTATTCCATAGGTCCAAATAAGTTTCAGGATTGTCTTGTAGATTAGTAGTTTGTTTTCGACTGAAAGTTGAGATGTTCTATTCAATAGTCTATATAGCTGTCCGTATCGTCTGTTAAGATGTTGTCTTTTAAGTTTGGTATGTTAGTTTCATGTTAGTCTTTTATCTAGAATTAGGCCAAGATACCGGACTGTGTGGGACAGAGGAAGTGGTATGGAGTTGAAGTAGACTGGTGGATAGGAATTGCGTCGAAGGGTAAAAGTGATATGGTTGGATTTGGATTCATTTACTTGGATTCGCCACTTATTGGCTCGTAAAGTAGACAACATTTTCTTTGAGAGTAAATTTGTTAAGGTCAACGATAAAAATGACTTTCAGGAGGTCTAATAACGCAAAGCCTACCATTATAATGAATTATTTCATGAATCGACATAACAGAGATATGCTGCTCGAGTATGGTCATTTAGTAACAGTAATCATCATAATCATTTAGTAATCTGTGTCATTTAGTAACAGGCGGATCTAGGGGGGAGCTTTCGGGCTGAAGCCCCCCCCCTAAAACGGTAAAATATAACCATGTTTTATAGGAAAAATATTTAAAACTATTTCTTAAAGTATTATTGTTCGAGTAATTACATTTGATAGGACTTCAAGAATCACCATTTCATATAGGTAGTTAATTTCTTTCTTTTTTTTTCAAATTAACTATCGATATATATTTGAAAAAAAAAATCTTTCGGGCTGAAGCCCCTCCTCCCCAAAATTAAATCCTGGATCCGATAGTGGGTACAGTAATTTCAACAGTACATCGGCCGTATTAGACCTGAAAGTTTCTTCTATCATTGATATTAGTAAATTTAACCACTATTTGCTCAAAACGAATTTTTCTACTTAGCGACGGTGTACTTAGAATTTTATTATCTTGAACAGCTTTTGTTATCTTCATTCTTACTAAAAAAAACACGACATTAGTTTTAAATCCTTTTCCGTTCAGAATCGGCCCATGCATCAAATAAACTTTTATGTTAGAAATTTTGTCTAGAATAGCCCTCCAGAGCTTGGCCATTAATGTATGACCTTAATAACGTATGACTGAGACACCTTTGCATCTATATTAATATATAATAACTCCAATATAATCCATTACTAAGAACATCGCATTCAAATTGACTTTTATTGATAATGAGCGTATAATTATAATATTTTTTATGATAATAAAATTTTATTGTTTCTTTTGCAATCGGGGAACTTCTTTATCGATATTTCAACAGTCACGCTAGCTCGTCATTCCATGAATATCTAACCATAAGATCACAATATTTTTTTCTTATGCACATTTCTTTTTTTAATAATTATATTAGCACTACCTCTCACGAACAAAAATAATTATCAACTTCATTTAGACCCAAATAAATAATAACTAGGTGCAAAAAACTGTCCAAACAAAACCCATCATGGTGAAAAATTCTTTCAACTCTCAGATTGCTACGAACTGCTTTATACATTTCTGCCCTGAAATGTATATATATAATACTGCTAATATATAATAATATGTAAAATTCTTCAAAAATTTTCGCTGAATAACTTCGTTAATTTTTTAAGTATGCTCAATACCTTTCGAGTGGTTACTTCGATATATTCCTGCTTATAGGCTATATTCCTGCTTAACATATCTATATTCCATTTTTAAATGAAACCTATTATGATTTACTATTTCAACAGTAATATAAAGTTCTTTTAATATTACTTTTCTTTCTATAATTCCGTCAAGTTCGTACGTAAGGCAGCATCAAGTTCGTGAGACATCCATTACCGAATTACATACAACACGAAGATTAGCCGCTTGCCGAAAACCTCTTATGGATCAATTAAGCTATTGCATCATCTGGTACTTTGCAATTCCTTAATCAAAGTTAAGCAACCTTTTCGCATGCTTGAGCAATACTTGTGCTAAGCTAAAAATACTTCTATTCATTAATGCTTCCTTTCTCATTCGATTAATTTGTTCATTCAATGCTAATGAAGAATCGCAAATTCATTACCGACCGTCAAATTAGAAGAACATATTTTTTTTCTTGATATGGAAGAGAGAGTTGGAAGAGCGTACAACATGGTAAGAAATGATAAGTACGTAATAAAACCTCATAGAATCTAAGTACGGCGTTATCTACGTCAAAGGGTTGTCAGATGCTGGAAGACGAAGTACACAACCAGACGGCTTATGGCCTACTTGCTCAGCCGACTTCAAGAAAGACAGCCAGTGGCTAACGAGAAAATTACAGCCCTTCGGCTACACCAGCTACAAAACTTTGGTCGAGCGGCGAATTGAGAGAGAAAAGGCGGACCATAGGCGCGAGACCGGCTCCTCATCGAACTGTATGTCAAACTATCACCTTAATTCGCAATAGAACAGGTTGCCCCTTCACATTGATTGGAAAACAAAAATAGATTATTGACAAACAATTGGTAGCATCATTCACAAGTATTTCTCTAACGAACATTTTCTTTTTTATATCACAAGAACAGGGCTCCCGGTCATATAGCATGTATCGGGTCCCCCAATATTGTACAGCTATATTGCAGCATTTTAACCTTATTGCTCATATGTTTTCTTTATTTTATCTTCATGAACATGTATATACTTATCTTATTACTTATGTATATCTTATTATCTTATTACTTATCGTATTCTTCACAACTCATTCTGTATAGGGAAGAACAACTCTTATTCTTACTAACACCCAAATGTTATTGAAAGGATTAATAAATCATAAAAGGATGATAGATTGCCTACTTACGCCAAGACGTGAAGCTTGGGGTCGGAGAGGATGGAATACGGCCCGGGTACAGGCCGCACCCTTTGGATGGTGACGGTGTTGGGGAGATTGCTCGTAGTGGCTTCTATCAGCGTCTTGAGGTCCGTCGCCGAGCAGGAGTCAGGAAGGCACACTCCCAGCGAGATCTCTCGAGGCTACAACAAAAAAAAATAGTTATTTCTTCAATAACTAAACATAAAAGGGTTTTTATGGACAGGAGTCGTGATTCACACACAGCAATTAGAAAGTCAGTCGTATCCAACTATCATGTAAAGCTATTATGTAAATGACAGAACTGAACATTATATGGTAAACTGAACCGGTATATGGTAAAGACTCGACGGTGACGACTTCTCAATCGTTCCAATCCGTCCCAATATTGTGTGCAAGTCTTTGAAAACTGAGCTGACTTCGTTAATTTACATCTTGAAGTCATAATATCAATTAGCAAAGTCGGTACATTGTCAAAATATTGCACAAACATTTCAGAATATATTTTTAGACTGTAACTTGTTAGAACACGTAAAATATATGACATAATCAAAACATGTTAAACGCAAGAACAAACATGTCTTCTTATAAATGAAAAACATTTTTAAAATACAAGGAATTAATAAATTTCATCTACAAGATAGATCTTCAAAGAAATTATACAGATCCAAACCCAAAACAATAGAACCTATTGAAGTTACTTATTAAAATACCTTCGATTAAACAGGTCGTCCTATAATTAACATAAAATATTTATATGAATGATAACAGGTCTCAAGAGCTAAAAAAAGTTTATATAAACAATGATCCGATTTTTTGTAGAAAAGTAGGAAATTTACGTTTTGTGTTTTTTGTTGAATAGGAAGCAATAACTAAAAAAAAATCGATTCATGTTATTAACAATTGCTTCAAAGTAAACTAGACAAAATTTAAAGTCAGTTTTGTCATTGCTATAAACATCACAATCGGACTTTTGAGTGGATAAAATTCCAAAAGAAAGTTCGTTTTCTTTTTTAAAAATATTAATTATTAGCGCGGAGTTGAGCTATGAGGCTCCACCAAACCTTCAAATTCCTCTTGTATCCAATCCTTACAATCCAAAATCCTTCGTAAAATCCTCAATGCTTCTTACTTTGTTACAAATAAAATCATCCACAATGGCCTTAACGTTCCTTATGTATCAGATTTGGCCCAATCCAGATATCAATCCTTCCATAATAAACTTCATAACCATCCCAACTCTCTTGTTTCTAACCTTGCTTCCTAATCAATCCCTGATAACCCTCCGAGGCGTCTGAAAAGAAGGTGGCCTCGTGATCTCCTAATATAGAAATATTATTAGAGTGCTACGAATGGGTAGTTTCTCAACATGTTTTTCATGTCATTATATTCATGTACGAATTTACTAGAATTAAAATAAATAAATTTTATTAAATTTATTAAAGTTGTAAATATCATATAAATAATAAAAATTAAAAAAATTATTAGCGATTTTTTTTTCATTACCCTATAACTATACTACAGATACTCCGCTTATAAAAATGTTAACTATTCACCGATATGTTGGAAACTTATGGCTTTGTATTTTGGATTTTTCCATTTATACAATAATCACGTTATGTTTCTCTTCTTTCTTTATCCTTATTTGAGTTATCTAATATTTATGTTATCATGAAAATAATTCAAGCAGAAAGCAGGTTTTTTTTTTTCTATTTTATTTTAAATGTAACTATTAGGACTGGAAAATTTTAGTTGTCAATAAGAAATAGAAATACATTTATTCGATAGCACAAATATATACTATATACAAATATACTTTGAATGAAGTTTTAAATCTTAAAATAGATGATGCGCAACGCTGACGATAACGTTTCTTTGAAGAGGAAATAATGAAAAGTTTAGAGCTAACATTTAGCCACAAGAGCTGATACAATTTCAAAAGAACCACTAGAAGAAAAAAGTTGGAAGTGGCCTCAACTGCCAAACTATACCTCTTGGAGTCGCAACAGAAGTATCAATGGTCTATAAATTTTAAAAGAGGAACAAAACCTCAAACCGTTTGAAAGTATTTTAGATGGAAAAAACAGTAACCAGTTATTTTTTAATGCTCCAAGTTCCACAATTTGCTTTTTATATATTTTAATTTGACTAAATATCCTATAAAGTTATTATTACAAAAATTACGATTTTTTTAATCTTAATTTATAGTTTCTATAGACATTATATATTTCATTATTCGATTAAACCCAAGAGTTTTAACGTAAATTGTGATGTACTCCAAGAATTGTTGATCCTACTTATTATTTACAGATCTGAATAAAATTAGTTGTTTGTACCTTGCACTTAATACCATTCTACGGTTTATTTATTTTTTGTATATTATTATTATTATTTTCTATATTGTCAGTGAACAATTGATAATACTTTGAAAATAAATAAATAAAATATATTACGAACGGGAGTTTTTTTTTCATGAAAATAATAAAACAAAACATGGAACTCCCATAGGCTTTGCTAGTGACCGCCGTATATCAATGATTTAGTTTTCATTTAGAATATAAAAACTATTCAGATTATAATGGGTATAATCGATCATAAATTGTTTAATTTTACAGTTATACAAATAAAGTTTTCTTTTCTTTATAACTTTTTCCGGCATTTTATTGGGGATGGTCATTTTACTTTATGGAAGAAGAGAATCTTAAAAATTATAGCTAATCATTAAATTTAAAGAAGTATTAATCAAGATGTAGCGTACCGACAATATATACGTTTTAATATATAAATATTTTGAATTTTAAGACTATGATTTATAACTTCGTAAAGGAAAAAAATCATTATGCTACAGATAACTTTGCAAATTTATTTCCGTAAACCAGCTAGATTTTATATATTTCTTTTTGTATTTACTTTATTTCTCTCACATCTTCCAGATATACAGAGAACCAGTGAGTATGCTGTCGGAAAGCAGAATAAGCGTAAGAGAAAGGAGGAGAAATGAATGAGGAAAAGGAAATGCCCAGCGGCATCCCTTCCAATCTTGAACTTGGTATTTATAGCAACGCGAGAAGACCAGACACATCCAGCTTCTTTTGAGTCTCTTAAGCGTGCTATCGGAGACGTTAATTGTGGCAATACGATAGTTACGGAATGGACTTAATCCGTAACAAATAATAATAATAATAATATCAATATTAATTTAACTTTTATTTTAATAATTGAGTTTGTTAAATGTGCTATTTGGTGAATCATGTATTGCATTGACAATTCTCATGACTCAAAGGATAAAGGACATCGCTATCCCTCCCTAGATAGCCAGGTCAACCTATCTCTGATAGCTTAGAAATAGTTATCCAGGAGGTACCGACTGGACACAAGACCCATTTTCAAGACTTAGGAAACAATAACAGATTTTAGCAAAAGGTCTCTTTCCCACAGACTACATTCTAAAGGATAAGGATATCAATTCTTAATAGTTAACTTCTCTTCCACGCTTCCTAGACCACCCAGAGTTGATTCACCCCCCTATTCTTCCTGGGTATATTAACCCCATGCTCCTCAGAACAAATCACTCTTGCAGATACATTCTCGAAGTCACACTCTTGTAGGAGACCTGGAGTGAACTTACCCTATTACTTATAGTCAACCTATATATCCACAGTACATTTCAGTATATTAGATGCCATTTGTAACAGACATAATGAATAAAAATGTTACTTATGAAGTCGTCACTTAATCCGATACGTTAACTCTCGAATGCACGAGTTAGTTATCGTGAAATATTGTTGTGTATGGGGTCGTTAACTGTTGGCATTTTAAGGTTTTTATGTAAATAAATGTTTATGACGTACCATGGAGCTTCAGTTATAGTTCTGAAAGTTTTGGAATGAAAAGTTAAACTATTTTAAAGTAAAACAAAATAATAAACTAAGGAATTTTCCTGAAGCATGAAGTGCGATGGTTTCGATATAAAAGGTAAAATTTAACATTTAATTTTTATCCATCAGATCTTCTATCGACAATAATTTTAATTGTAATATAATACCTAACCACCTATATATGTTTTAATAATTTATTTCAATTTGTTTATTTTTTGTCAATTATGAATAATATTTGAGCACCCGTGTAACATTATTAATTTCCCCATTTCTTTTCCAAGAAATCAAGCTGAATTTAATATGCCGTTTTTTTTATATTCAACTTTCAATATTAATAAATTCAAGGAATGTTTTTTTTTCAAATCATGTTTTGTTAAGTACAATACATCTGATAAGAGCTTTTTTTATTTTTTCTAAAAATTTTCATAGCTTTTTTTATTAAAAAATATTTTTTTCTAAAAATCATCTAAAAAAAATTACCGCTTTCTGAAAAAAAAGAATTCATTGACACTAAAAAACAACAACTAAAATCGAATCAAAATTCGTATTTTTTTCGTCATTAAATGAAATATCAAATACCACTAAGTTAAAAAAAAAACCTATGTACCTTACAAAAGATGGCTTCTCATTCTCAATTAGCTTCGTCTAACGCCAGAGAATATAGAAAAGATACTGATTTCAAGGCTTAAACTCTTCTTCTAGTTTCAACTAATATGAAGAATACATGTAAATTTTTTTTCATTATTTGACAGATGTATTTCGCCGGTGAAAACTTTTTCAATAATCGGTTTTTATAATGCCATTTCGAAGGCATAAAAAATGTGGAAAAGCTATCCTAATGTGATGGAAGAGGGATATAATATAATTGCAAATCAATTTAAACATATAGATGTATTATAAGTGGCATTGATATCTGTGAACATGGGTGTAGTAGTCATGTGTCTTCAACTACGAGTTACAGCTCCTTACAAGTACATTTCATCTCTTGCATCCGCACATGTCAACCTACGGAAATTTATGTATTATCACAAGATTCATGAGTTCCTTTCGGGTACGGTAGGCATTCCAATACACCAAGTTTCAATATCCTTAGACATCACCTTCACTAACTACTCACCAATCTGTTTGAGGAGATATGGTAGTGTATTCTGTCCTTCACAACGAAAAAGTTTGTGTTTGCTTAATATATTGTACAATATATTTATTTAAAATGTAGGAGAAAATATATAAGTAAAGATGGGCAGATGAATCGAAAATCGAATCAAAGAGCCAACTCCATTGAAAGGATTTTACTCTAGTGATTCACACGAAAGAATCATGATTTACTTGGAATTGGTCATTTTCCAATTCTTGAGAATCGAAGAACTGGGAGTAAGGTTTCGATTCGATTCTCGATGACACAGCTAGAACGCTCTCATACAGCTCTTCACTGATCCTCATCAAGTTTGTTCTAGAAAATCTTCCGGTTGTGATCCATTGCTTTCTGGGTTATTTTGTTTACTTTCTGAATCTATTATTCCATTATCATTTCACACTTCGAACATTTATATCCTATGCCTATTTTAAAAAAAACACTTTATTCAGAAATATTACAATTTGTCACAGTTAAGGACACTTATAATAGAGTTCAGAGATTGCATTCATACCGTATATACAAAAATATAAATAAATAAAGTAATAACAAAAGAATAAGAAGAAAGAACAAAAGAGTAAAGGAAAAAAAAAAATATATACACATAAGTAAATAAAAATAGAAATAAAAGTAAAACAAACACCTTATATAAAACATACATTATTTACAATTTGCCAGGTGATCTCCGAACCAATCCTGTCCCCTCCACATGTGGAGGGAAAAGGGAGGCCTAGGAGATCCCTACGCTTCTCCCTCAGCCACTTCACTGGTATTTTAAACCAGCGGAGGATGAGTAAGAGCGCTACAGCCACAGACACTCATGACTTGAGTGGAGAATCTGGCCATTGCTAGAACTCCAAAATATCCATATTTACAAAAGGTCTCGTGGCCACTGCCGCTTTAACCTACGAAGGGGATTGTAGGGATGGGTGGTGCTTGATAGGGATTGTACAACGGGATTTGGGTGATGAGAAAGGTTCTGGTGAAATTTGGAAAATTTGGCTGGGATAAGATCAAGAATAAATGGGATATTAAGGTCATGATGTAGGGTTTTATTGGTTACATAGAAGGGAGCATTGACTATTGTACGGAGGACTTTAGACTGAAAGGATTGAATGCGTTTGATGTTAGAAAATTTGGCTGTTCCCCATAGTTCTAGTCCGTAAGTCCAGATGGGTTTCAGTATTGTCTTGTAGATCAGTAATTTGTTTTCACCAGAAAGTTTAGATTTTCTATTCAGTAGTCTATATAGCTGGCCATATCGTCTGTTAAGTTCCTGTCTTTTAAGTCGAGTATGTGGATTCCATGTTAGTCGTCTGTCTAAGAGAAAGCCAAGATACCGGACTGTATCTGAGAAAGGAAGCTGGATGGAGTTAAAATAAACTGGTGGGCAGGTATTACGCCGAAGGGTGAAGGTAATGTGTTTACATTTAGATTCGTTTACCTTAATGCGCCATTTCTTACACCAGTGTTCAATCAGGAAGAGGTGCCTTTGTAAGTTTGCGGACGCTGTTTCAGGATCTGAGTTGGAAGAAAGGATAGCAGTGTCATCAGCGAAAGTTGCCAGGAGGGTATCGGGATGGACAGGAATATCAGCGGTAAAGAGAATGTAAAGGATGGGGCCCAAGACGCTGCCTTGAGGAACGCCAGCCTCAATTGAGTAACAGTCGGAGAATTCGGTGCCACAGCGAACTCGGAAGGAGCGGTCGGAAAGATAGGATCGGAGTACTAGGTATAAGGACTGTGGTAGATGGATTTTAAGCTTGAAGAGTAATCCGGCGTGCCATACCCGGTCAAAAGCTTGCGCTATGTCCAGAAATGCACCCGAGCAATACTGCTTGCTTTCTAGGGTTGAGGATATATGGTCAACAACTCGGAGTCCTTGCTGGACAGTGGAATGTTGGGAACGAAATCCGAATTGATGAGTAGGAAGGTTATAGGATTCAATTATAGGTAGGATTCGTTTCAGTAGGATCTTTTCAAAAATTTTTGAGAGGATTGGGAGTAGGCTAATTGGTCTATAGGATGCTGTATTGTTGGAAGGTTTGCCTGGTTTCAAGAAGAGGACGATGGTGGAATGTTTCCATAAAAGAGGGAAGTGGGTAGTTCGTAGGATGCAATTGTATATATATGTAAGAAATATGATGGCTTTAGATGGAAGTTGTCGAAGGATCTGTGGGGTTAGAAGGTCATATCCAGGAGATTTGCGAGGTGTGATTTTCCGTAAAAGGTATTTGACCTCAGAGGGATTAACAGCTTTAGGTGGTAAGGAGAGTGGGATAGGTATTGAGAGGGATTCTTCTACTTTTACTGTGTGGCTGGGATGGGATTCTGGATGAGGAGCGAAAGTATAGGAAAGGTGTTTGGCAAATTCCTCGGCTTTATCTTCATCAGATGCTGCCCAGGAGCCATCATCTCGTCGAAGAGGGTGGGAAATATGATGGGATTTGAGGATTTTTCTGGTGATATTCCAAAGGGAATTATCATGAGCAGAGAGTGTGGTGAGGTAGGAATTGAATGATTGGGATCTGAAGGTGGCTAATTCTTTTTTTAATTTTTTACAGTGATAATTGTAGGAGTGGCGGTCGGCTGGATGTCTGGTACGTTGCCATAATAATCTGGCACGGCGTTTTATGTGGATTAGGTCAAGGAGGTGTTGAGGTAAATTATGTTTCTTAAGGATTTTTGAGGAGTGATCAGGGGAGGAAGCAGTCCAGACTGCTTCTTGAATTTTGGTAGTGAAGGAATGTACTGCATTGTCCAGGTCTTCAGAGGTTTTCAGGGTTACTCTGAGGTCAATTTTATCGGAGAGGATTTGATGAAAGAGTTTCCAGTTAACTGGGCCTCTGATGAAGGACGGAGGAGAGGGTTTAGGAATAGGAGCTAGTGATACTTGGAGTATTAATGGGCTGTGGTCTGAGGAAAGCTCGTCAAGACGGGCAACGGAATGGTTGAGAGCACCTAAACCATTATGGATAAAGAAATCGAGGATATCGGGATTACGGTTAGGATCAGTGGGCCAGTAGGTAGGTGAGTTGGGTGGAAGAAGGGTAAAATTTTGGGAATTGAGTACAGACAGCAATGTTCGACCACGAGAATTCGTGGTTCTTGAACCCCATTGTTGATGCTTGGTGTTTAAGTCTGCACCCAAGATGAAATGATGTCCTAAGGAAATGAGGAAGGAACGAAATTGGATATTGGAGATGGATTGGTTTGGAGGGCAATACGCTGATGCAACGGTAATAGGAAAGGAGAAGGTTTTGATTACGACTGCGGTGGATTGTAGGAAATCGTGTGTAGGCAGTGGGAGTAGGTGATGGGAGAGGGGTGCACAATGACTGCAGTACCGGCATGTGCTCTACCGTCAGGATGGTCGGTACGGTAAGTTATGTATTGTGGTATTTTTAGGAGCTGTTTTTTAGTCAGTCGAGTTTCCGTTATTAGGGCTACGTCTACGTTCTTGTCTTGTAGTAAGGCTGTTAGTTCGTGTATGTGATTTCTAACACCATTCGCATTCCAAAGGAGAATGGATATGGGTTTGATGGAAGTCATTTAAGGATTTTTTAAAGGAGGGATAAGGTGAGATACTAGGTTAGTGAGAAGTGATATCAGTGGGGTAACAAGGGATTTAAATTCTGAAAGAAAGGATGTCAATAAGCTGGTTAGATCTGTAGCATTAGGCGGTGGAGGAACATATTGGATTTGATGTTGGTGAGGTTGTTGTTGATTAGGTACATTAGGTGGGATAGGATATTGAGATTGGGGTTGAGTTTGTTCTTGCGGCAGGGCCTCACATACATTAGTCGGGTCTCTACCCCCAAGTAGCTTGGCAAAAGAAACCTTAGAGTTCACAATTTTAGCGGGTCCTCTTCTTGGTTTAGGTGTATCATCAGGGTCCCTGGGTTTCATATATCTCGCTTTAAGATTTTTATAAATTTGGCAGCCTTTGTAGTTGGCTGGATGGCCTTCCAGGCATAGGGCACAGACTGCTGGTTCTGTAATTGGTTTATTACACTCGCCAGACTTGTGTGTTTTACCACATTTCACGCAGCGTGGTAAGTGGTGGCAATAAGACTTGGTGTGGCCATATGCTTGGCAATTATGGCACTGGATGAACTCTCTTTTTGGGTACGGTTTTTCGACCTTTACGCTGGTGTAGAAAATTCTATTCACATCGTATATTTTTTCGATCCCAGGCGATGGCTCTAGATCGACGAAAAATAAGGGCAATGGGATTTTATTCTTTACACCTGGTTGTTCTTTATTTTCTTTTAAAACATTGGTTATCTGACGTATTTTGAACCCTAACGCCGTTAACTCTTCTTTAATCACTTCTATTGGGGTTGAGGAGTGTAAATTTCTTATTACAACTCGTAGTGCTCTTTCCTGTTTCAACTGGTATGTGTGAAAGTCCGCATTTGTGTCTGTTAAATATTTTACGATTTTTCGGTACGCTTCAGGTGTGGCCGGTATTATTTTTGTATCGTTTATTCTGTTTAGGCATGTATAGCTACCTGGGCAGATTTTATTAAGTTGAGTACACAACAACTGGAAATTTCTCAAATTTTTGACAAAGATAGGAGGTGGGCGTGGTTCTCGAGGTATAGGTGCATCTTCCATTTCTTCCCTGTCATTTTCAAGCACCTGGTATGGATTAGGTGTAAAAAATGGAGATTCCATTTCTTGTGAAGACGTACTTGGCAGTGGTTGAGACACAGATTCTTGAGTGTTCGCTGGAGGAGTTCCGGGGGGTGTTAATCGCTTACTACGACGTGTTTTCTGTTTAGGCGGTGAATTACGTGGGGTAGAGCCAACTGAATGGGACCTCTTAGTTGACATTACTTGGTGATAATATCGCATATAAAAAAAAAAAGAAAGGGAAAAAAAAATAAATAAATAAATAAAACTACGTCTGCGTGTTATTACAATGGATGAACCACCGGCTGAGAACCAGCCAGTTACGTGGCAGAGCCACAACTGGAGAGGGGAGCCGTCAGCTGTTATGGCTATAGAGATTAAGCCTATAGACGCTAAATCACTAAATTCACTGTCTGTAATAGTACACAGTAAATAACAACACTACTCACTGTGGTGTTAGTCCATTGTTGTTGTTTTGATGTCTGCTTAACTAGTTTTTTTAAAAAAAAGTAAAACTGAGCACTTATTCTACTAAAAAATAGTAAAACTGTGGGACACGACGTGAAATGTGGGTATTCAAATCAAGCGCATGCGCAGAACTCCTATGCCTATTTACATTAATATTTTTTTAATTTATTTTTCTCACTGTTTCGTTTGTTTCACTGTTTCT